GTCAGGAGTTTGAGACCAGCCTGGCCAATATGGTGAAACCCCATCTCTACTAAAAATACAAAAATTAGCCGGGCATGGTGATGTGCGCCTGTAGTCCCAGCTGCTCGGGAGGCTGAGGCAGAAGAATCGCTTAAACCCTGGAGGTGGAGGTTGCAGAGAGCCAAGATTGTGCCATTGCACTCCAGCCTGAGTGGCAGAGCAAGACTCCATCTCAAAATAAACAAAAAAACAAACAAAACCATATAGTATATTTGGGAAAAATTTCAGAATTGTAGCTTATTAGAGCTTATTAGTGATAGTGTTAGGACTAGATAATGGTACTCCTACCCTCAGCTGATTATAACACATCGTTTCCCTGCATGTACAATTTCGGCAGGAGTAATTTGTGACTTTTAAATTAGCAGTAGTCTACTGAAACAAAAATCCTCAGTAGGTTAATCAGTCTTGCAAAAATGGCGGTTAGTTTTCTAGCTAAATATGTTGTCCTGGCTTGGAGATTTACAGTCAGTTTGGTTCCTTTGAAAGGTATCTGTTCTTCGAAAGCAATTAATGATTTGAGAACCATTGTATCTATTGTATGAGGAACTTTTTTCTGTAGAATATTTGCATTTTCCGTTTTCTACTTGTTTTCTGTTTCTGTTTTCAGTCTTCTATGGCAATTTCTTAGTAATTTGACTAATATGTATGCCAAATAATTTTTAAGTGAGAGATTTTTAACATTTGTGTGAAAGATGCTATGTTTAGAAAGTATTATTGACTTTTTTTTTTTTTTAAAACACCATTGGGCTTAGATTGGAAGTGGGCATGCATTTTGAACATAGACTTGTTGGAAATGAATATGCTGTACACATGTGTTAGCTGCGTTAAAAAGGCTGCTTTGCTGGCAAGCTTTGGCCTGGACTGCTGCTCACAAGGATTATAACTGATTGCAGATGGAATGCATTAGAATGTTTCTGCCATAAACTCTTATGAAAAAGTAGAAGAGTATGAAGAGTACTTTAGGGAATGTGCTAAATCTGAAAACTGAGAAGTAGCTATTTTATTTAAGCACTTTCTGGTCTTGGAGGAAATATTTTCCGTGGCAAAAATAAATGTTACTGCCTTGACATTTTGGAGTCCCAAGCACATGCAAATAGCTCTGTTCAATAATATCCCATTATATTCCAAGGTTCTCCCACTTTAGAAGCATTTCTTATTGTCTAATTACTCGATAAAAAGGGAAATGAGTCAAAGTGAACGATCTAACCACTTACATTTATGGTTAGGTTATCCGTGTAAATCTGGAGACATTAAACCTGTATAAATGCATTCAAAAACAGGAGGTAGATGAA